CTGTGGTGGTATGAAATCTTTTCATGCGTCTTTAAGGAAGAACGCGTGGTTTTGAAACAGTGTAGTTATATTGTACTGACTTCCTGACTGTACTCCCTTTAACTTTTTCGCAACCATTACAAAGAATAATTGAAAGTCTTTATCATAACTTGCAGTCGTTTTTCTGTTCTGCTCGCATTCTATTCGACATTGACCGCTCTCCTCCTCCTGCGTCTGTTAAACAGCCAAAGTATTATCTGCCCTCTTATTTAATTTTGTTTTTCCAGTCCTTTTGCCTACTTTGCCCGTACTTCTGCTCGAGGACCGCTCTGGACTCAGTCTCCTTTCGGACACTCGCGCTTTGTACCCCTTAAATTTGTCGCTGGGCTTGTTTAATAGTGGCACATATTTGACCTCCTGCGAGAGCCCCGTTTCATTGGGGTCATTCGAAGGCAACTCAGTTGTCAGCTTTTCAACCAGAACATAGAATCCTTTAGAGGACAGGTACTTGGTGGCATTCTCGTATTTGTGGCTAGAAAGCTCCAAGACGAGACCTAATAAAATGGAGAAATGGAATTATGTAATACGTAGACAAAGATAACCACCTTAGTGAGAGGAACATCTTAGTTTGTCCTCATCGAGTGACATCGATTTGTTTTGCTGCTAGTCTCCTTGCATTTGCCTTTACTTTTGAAGTAACCTGAGATCAGGCCCAATTTTATCGGTTCTCATACACTCTCTCTAAACGCTACCGCTAAAATTGCGCCTGATACAAACTCTCTTACGTTTGTGCTCGTTACCGCCAGATTTCGGCCTTAACGCTGATTGCCTGTTAAAACAATGCCACAAGATCTGATTGGCTGTCGGAAACGCCGGAAGTTGAAAGCGCTTATTCCTCGCGTGGTTGTTTTCGTGAATGATCCGCCAACGGCGGAGAGGAGGATCAATTTTGCTGTCTTTTTTATTGTTTTATGGTCTTATGGTAAGAGAATATGCCTTAATATGTGCCATGGAAATTCAGAAAATTCATATGGTTGTTCATATCTTCTCAGGATTTGTTTTATTTACGGATGTGAGTGTATGGCGGAGTTGAATCCCTCTGCAAGTTGTTGACCGCTAACAAGGTGCCTTTTGATTTACCAACAAACGGGTGCAAATCAAAATATTGTCCATCTTAAAACTGGTTTCATTTGAAAGTTTAGCCGGGAATGACTTCTCTGAACGGGGTACACAAGCTGAGGCTCACTGCGAAAGAAACCTCAATCGCCAACTGTGAAGTATTAGACCAAAAATATCGCATCGCTGTTCAAGGAATTTTTGTAGGCATCATTATAAAAGCTAGTGGCGCATGTCTTAAGTAACAGACTTGTTGTTCGCCTTCGCTTTTTGTAAAAAATAAACCAGGAAAACTAGTGTTCTCGCTCGTTGGCTGTTTGCTGTTTGTTAATTTCGATTAATAAATTTAGCGAGCCAGTTTTAGACCTGCAGTAAAACAACAAGATAACTAAGGAGAACTACAAAGTGTGTTTATATTGTTTTTCCTTTTGTTTATAGGTCAGTTGAGCATGCAGTTAGTGGCAGATAATATTTACCTGGATTTTTTTAATATATATATTTTTTAGACGTTTGTTTTTCTAGTAAATTCGCAAATATTATTGCAAGTGTACGCACGGGACTAAATCATGAAATAATTTATATATCCTTTCAAAAAGTAGAAATTTCAGTATTTTAAATTCGAGCGCGCCTAGCCAAAATAACAAAACTAGTAGAACATCGTGTCGCCGTCTTTTCGAAAACTTTTTACCTTCTACGCCGACAGAAATAACCTTCGAGATCTCCTTTAATTTCGCAAGAAGTTAAATGTGATTGTGCTGACTGTTTTATTTTTAGCTGAAAAAATTAAAAGATAAAAGCTATTTTTCAAGTCAACCGGTCTACATTTTTCCCAGGCATGAAAAATTGTATACTAGAAAAACAAGCAACGGAAGTAATTTTGGTTGGCTGATTTGGCAAATGTCAATCAATCAAAAAAGTGGGCGGAAGACGTTTCGTAGAAGGTTTGTGTCAGGCTCTGTTTTCTTTTCGCCTTGCCCGCCGGAATGTTATTACAAAGGGAAACGAAAATTGAGCCTGATCTCAGGTTACTTTTGAAGACTTGACCACAACATCATTCATTGTCGCTTTCTATTTTTGGGTCAGGCTGGCTGCTACTATCGTTTTGGTCAAGAAAGCATCGAATAAACCGCAAGTTTTATAAAGGTGGCGACAATTTTATATCAGAAGTTCTAACATAAACCACACAGCAGAAATTTCTTTGCGTCTTCATGGTTCCGACCCAGAGGCCAAAGCCAAAGGAAGCGTCCTAAAAGTTACCGCATAAATAAGATGCAGATTGTGTTATTTCACTGCAAGCAGTTTCTTAGATACAACTGCGACCATCATTGGCTGATCAGTGACCACGTGACTTTATCCAAGGGTCATAATCAAGTAAGGGTTGCTCGTTCGGGATAGATATTTTGTGTCAAAAGATGTCGATTGTTTGGTTTTTAAAATGCTGCTATAGGCTTTGCATAAGAGTATTTGAAACCAAGTCCCCCGGAAAGCAGGTTTGCTTTCCATCGCGTTGGTCTCAGGAAACATCAAGACTCGCGGAAAAACGAAACAAACTAAATATCTCGGGACCTGGCATTAAGTGTGTATTACGTCATTATGTATGGTATTGGCCGCGTTCTTCAAATAAAAGTTTCTGTTGACCACGAGGTAACATTGACCTTCAAGACAACAAACGTTGCACAGGTGAGTTGTACTGTGTTATTGCTAAAGTAATTCATTCTGACTGTATTACCAGACCCGATCACACTTGTTAGCCTATTTTTCCCACATTTTGTAGCCAGCGGTTAAGACTTGTTAGGTTGTCTAAGTAGTTAACTGAAAGAGGAAGCAAGTTTGTAGACATCACGCGTTTTGTAAACGATTTTGTTAATCCAAGTCATGCTGCCCTTGTGGAACATATGCATACACATCATATACAACCGACTGTAGGAATTTTTTTTCGGACATTTCCCTACTAGGTTGCTTACTCGCGTTCTTGACTGTCTTATGACATTGAATACTGCCTATTAATTTCGGCTGCATGCTACGGATAAATTTATATCTGAAGACTGAAATTGCTTCTTTCGTTTTCGATACCTGTCATGCACGAAAAAAATACTCAGGGTCCTTGATGAACGAAATGTTTTATTCTGGCTTGTTCTACAGTGTTCAATGGTGTAGTTTGGTAATCCTTGTTTTAGTCAGAACTTTCGGCCGTCCTCAGAAAGTTTGAACCTTGTAATTTGACCTCAAGTTGCTTTCAACAGAAGATTTTCGTATCAGGAGCTGCAGCAGGAAAACAATTTACTGCTGTTAAGATTTCTTTAGAAACATTTGTGATCAGTTCATATTCACAACGGTGATAAAAGCACACGGTCTTGGAGACTGAGTCTTGTGTTGAATGACGACCCTGCCAAGTCCGATTGGGTTAGTTTTGGAATTTTTCTGCTTCAACGAAACTTACTAATCTTTGAACTTTTAATCCTGTTGGTTAACTTTCGATATTCTTAACAGTATGATGATCTAAGAGAGTCTAAAATTGCTTACTTTCATCGAAAGTGAAATACAGGGAGTAACATTAAAGGAATTTTGTGACGGCAGTTTATTTTAGTCCATCCTGTTTCGTTGTACTTGTTATTTGCTATGACTTAACTTTTGAGAAGATTGAAATTTCTTCCAAATGACATGCAGAAATCACAGCTTTATAATTTTAAAAGTTACAATCATCAGAGATAAACTTTGAAAAACTGTTAGGCTGGACAGTTTTCAAATGCCTGAATAACAATATGTTTTATTCCATTTCAGTTTTCTCCACAAGTCACTTTGTTTGTATTTACTGTTTTGGTTAAATGTTTCTTTACTGTTCTTATTTCACTCAATTTCTGGCCAGTTTTGAATGGTTGAAGTTGATAACTTTTGTGACACAACTCTTTTAATCCTTCAAAGATCCCAACTAAGTTTTGTCTCTTAATATTGCCTGTAACACTTGCCCTGATTGTTCAAACGTTGGATAGCGCTATCCATCAGAGGCAGCGGGGGCAGCTTTAGTGATCAATTTTCGCGTTCGTCAGAACGCATCCTTATCTGGTGTTCCTGTGGCACTAAGGCAGAAATTTTCGTGCTATCACGGTCGACTGCAAATTAGCCGCCCCTGTAAATTTTATCAGGGGCACCTCGGCCGGGAAACTGGACTCCTTTCGACTCCATTTCGTTTCCGTAATTTTTCCGTAAGTGACGAACGCGGATCCGTAATCAATGATTACCTCTAGTCTAGGGATAATATGATCAATGGTGAGCAAGGTGGCTGGCACTTTGGAGACCCCTAGTAGCAGTACTTTCCTGAACTGAGGTAATTTTGTTACTCTGTACAAGGTGGTTCTAACTTTTGAGTCTGTAAATGAAATCCTAAAGAGTGACCTTTCAAACAAAAGCTACAGAGCAATCTTTTTTGGTACTGTCTATCATGCTCTACAAGCAATGTCCTCAAGTTGTTTTGTTACAACACTGAATTGTGTGTATTTACGTGCTTCTTTACATCTCAGTTTTTACTTCGGGTGTTTTGCTTTTACACTCGTTCTTTTTTATACGAATTTTGCTTTTCCGGCCTAGGCTGAGTATTCTTATTTTTCTACCGATTTTAGGCTGAAAATATTCGTGTATTAATTCTTAAATTGAAGCTTATGTCATTTCCGTTTTAGCATGTATTGGGGCATCAATGTACCGTTCATCGAACTGTTATTAGCATTCACTTGAACATTTGGCTCAATTAGTTGGTGCAGTTTTTTTTAAGTTTGCACGCTAGTTTTCCCGTAAAGAGAAAGGAATATTTATATCAGTTAAGTTAAAAAACATAATTGCATTTTAGTAACAGATTTTCAACATAAAATTGTCTTTTTGAAAATCTCAGCCTCGGGTTTCTTATAATATGCTTAAAATTTCGCAGATTTCAGCCTCGATATTCTTATTTAAAAAAAAACTGTTGAGTGTATACAGTCCCTTGAAATCCATTCAGTTTTTGCAAGGTCGTTGATAATTAACTGGACTAGGATTGGTATTTGATTTGAGCTTCTTTATATAGAACATTAACAAACAAGAATTTCAGCTTCTTTATGAAACATTAACAAACAACAACCAAACTAAAGGAAGTCACCCTGCATGGACAGCGTTAACTTTTCTTTAAATAAAGTGGTGCTACGAGATATGTAAGTGCTTGTCAGTTTTAGTCTTTTCTAGTTTGCAGTTTTCGATTTTTAAAATGTATTCTTTCTCTAAGGATATGGCTTGAAAATTTAAAAATTCACTCAAAGGGAGATATACAGCCCTCAGTGGGCCAGGCCTTGTGGGCGCATGGAATGTAAACTTTTCTTGTGGTCTTCTTGTGCGTTTGTTTTTAGAATACATGCACATGGCCGGTGGTTAAATTCAAGTAATAACGTATTTTATCGTACTTCGTCAAAGTAATTATAATGTGCAATTGATGTTTTTACAAAAAATCAGACCGTTGGCCAGGGCTTATTTCTTCGGGATGAGGCAATGGCACTAACTGTAGTCGGTTATTCATAAGAAGACCAAGCTAGACTCAGGTGACATATAGTAGAAAAGGACCGTGGCCAAAATTGGTGTTATTGAACATTATTTTGAAAACAGAGGTCCTTGTTGACCTTTCCTTTTCAAAGTGTGATCTTAAGATTTTGGATGAGTTCCAGACGGGTGAGCACTCAAGTGAAGGCTTTTTTAGCAGCGGAATCTTTCTATTTTAGTTTGTTGATATTAAGTTTGCACTAAATTGTACTCTGGCTATTCATTCTGTAAATGCCTTTATAACTGGCCCCCTCTTGTGTTGCTTAGACTCCGATCACTGACATTGTGGCCTTTGTATTGTGGCGCAAACTTGTCATTTATATGCAGAATTCATGAAAGCCCATGAAGTGAGAAAAGCCTAGCTTCTCGGTCATTCACGAAAGGCTGCTTATTCTTGTTCGGTGCCGAAGAAAATTTCACTTCTTTTTTATTTATTGCCAATAGTATGAACAGCGAAAGGATTTCGACACATAACTGCTATTTCCTCTTGCATTTCAAGCATTTTTTTGCTTTTACGGAATTTTATTCCCAATTCACCAAGTTGTACTGTTACATACCTGTTTCGTCTGTTAGGTCCAACACTCGATCTGTATCTCCATAACCGCATCTTTCTTTAATCGACTCCAGTAGATTCACGACGGAGCAGCTTGGGTTAAACAACAGTGACTCCTGATCACCGTAATATATAGTAATAAACATTGTCTTAAACGTCTGTGATTAGATAAAAACAATTTCGAGAAGCAAATATTAGACCCTGAGGTACCAAGCTTACTTCAAAGCTCGTTCCTACATGGAACGTTCCTGGTGCGAAATCTTTGTTAGGAGCTGCGTCGAGTGCGCGTATTTTGTTGCTGCTTTTGCCCGAGGCTGTTAATACTGAAAAATATACCGCATAAAATCGCTCAGGTGCAAATTTGATGTCTTTGATTATGATGAGAGATACAGGTTCATTGCACATAATTACTACGGCGAAAAAACTTATTTTCTGGCGTCTGAAACGCCGCCTCACTCGAATTCAACGCATTTTAAACTAACGGAGACGCGCAGACAGCTGATTTCTTTCCGACAGCAGTTGGTTGTTAGGATTAGCTTTTAATCTGAATAACTGAAACTCATCACTTTGATGACAGCTGATTAGTAATGCGACTTTTAACGATTTAAATACAATTCAGATAAGAATAAAGTCTTGACTGGCTCCAATTGTAGAGTGCGCAAAGTGTTAAAGGAATAATTGTCTTAAGCTCAATACTTTAACGTTTCCAGCTGTGGCATACGAACGTGAATCAATTAAAAGATATGATTCTTTGAAGGAAATGAGTCAGGTTTAGAAAAAAAAGAATCAGTGAGCGGAATGACTTGAGCGCTAAATATCTATTTATTTGTTTATTTATCTATCTAGTCATTAAATTAATGTAAAATTAACCGAATGAAATACTTTCGGGCAGATACTCAGCGTCTTAAAGTAACTGAGAAATAAAGGTCTACCTGCAAATGGCCAGACCTTCGCCTCGTGGCTCAGATAACCACGAAGATATGGAGGTCCTGTTTCCAGTAGGAGAAACTTCAGCATGTTTCTTCCTATTCATTTGTCAAAAGTCTTGTGTATCACTAAACTGAATATGCACCTCCCCCCCACCCCCGCCCCCCCCCCACCTACAGTTCTCTAGCTTGTTCGTTTCTCGTGGTTTAAGTTTGTTTTTTTTTTTAAAGTTGAACATCCACAAACCCCGCGATCACACAGGTCAGGCAGCTCGGCAGACCGTCCT